GAAGAGGTCCAGGTGCTGAAGCGGAGGCAGTCGCTTCTTTCTTTGGAGTCTGGGAGTGACTCGGTCTACTCCCCTCAGTCGCGGCACCGGGGGGAGGAGGCCTGTCCCCCGGCACCGCAGCCGCTACGCGGCTTAACTCGTCCCTGAGATCGGCCTCGACGCCCCGCAGTCGGCTGCAGGCAAAGCCGATGAACTCTGGCCACGCCCCCCCCACACGGATGATATCGCTCACCCGCGCAAGGCAGAGGCACAAGGGACACCCACAGGGGAGTGGGTGCCCAAGCATTTGCTAAAAGCCAGAGCTGCGAAAGCCACATGGGTGGTCTCATGTTTAGACCTGAAAACGTAAGTACATACATGTTGTTTTACTCCAAGAAGAAGAACTTCGAAACACTTGTAGCAGTGGAATGATGATAATTTTACAGGACACTCATAAAATCGCGGGTAAAAACAACACAAACAAACCCTACAAACATCGCAATTTGCTTGTCTTTGCCGGAAAAAAAAAGAACAACATGGATTCATGTAGATGTTCGATGATGTTCCCTTTATATAACCAATCTGTTGAACCTACTTCAAATGGATGTCCGCCTATTGACCTATTGCAATCCACCAAATGGGCATTGCGGCTTTGGTCCCGTGAGCTCAACAACCACTGAGTTCATTAGATAGGCTACCAAGACATCCCCAAAAAATGGCGGTATGTTTATGTTTGTTATAGTTGTAAACAACATTTGGAACAAGTCAATATTGGCTAATAAAGTCATTTACACATCTCATATTTTAAAGATATCTGGTTTCTTTGCAACTTCCCCTTTTTTCTTTCCCTGGTATCATGGGTTTCACATTGAAATCGTTGGTGTTTTCAATTGTTCATCTCCCTAGGCAGCTCGCTAGACCTCTGGCAGTTTCCGGCCAGTCAGAAACGGATCGTCGCGGAACCTGAGATGGTGAAATGCTCAAAATGAAAATGAATGAATATCCTCTCTTTCTCTCCATCTGCCTATGCGTAATCATGTGTAATATATATATATATACATATAATCATATTATAACTATAAATATATATATATATATGTATAATATATACGTATATATATATACACACGCACATGTGGCTATATGCATATGTGTTCTGGTAGTCCATATGTCAATCAATGTCAATTATATTGTCATCAGCCCTACAACCCATCTGCTGCCCTATGGGCCGGTTGCAAAGTCCTGCTAGGACCCCCAGCCCATCTGCGGGAAGCGAACTGCAGCAGCTGAGTATACGAACAGACCCGAAGAATGGCTGGTCATTGGTCCAATGAAACCCATCCAACGTTGGAAGTAGATGTGAGTAAAAAAAACCCGGTGGTGAATCTAGACCTTTGCGCTTTCCAGAAAACAATCCTACAGGCTGAAAACTTGCTATATTCCCTTATAAGTCTTATAAGTTCCAAAAGAAATTGGTCAGAATTGTGCACTCATGTCCGCACTCTGCTCAGCTTTACCTGGATGTGCATCCCAGTTAGTAAATGGGTATGGTAAAGGCCAAAGTATGACCCAGCTCTATATCTACAGTACATGGGTTATTTAACCATTCTTAGCCACTCACCAACTGGGATGCACCCCCAAGTAGCCCACATTCCAACACGAATGGTGCTGGAATGGGGGCTGGCCACGATCCCTGCCTGTTGGGAACAGGTCCCAAAGACTGTGCGGCGTTGAGGCTGTCGTCCTGATCGAAAGGTTTGATGTGGAAAAGTGAACTGACCCACAGTCCAATGATGTCCAATATAGCCAGTGCATTGAACCACCTCTTGAAAACAATACGAAAGTCTACTTATAAGTTATTGTAGTTAGATACCCATAAATCTCCATTGTTGATGGTTAAAACCTCATAATTTCCTGGTTTTTCATAATCCCCATTGGTCAAAGCCTGGAGGAAGGACTGGCGCAATCTGTGCAGATTCTGCAGGCCAAAGCTCACAGAATGTGTACATCTCTGGTTGTTGATATGTATGTGTGTATATATATATATATGTGTGTGTGTGTGTTGAATATATATATATGATCCATATATATATATGATCCATACATATATATATATATTAATATTTATATGATATACTAATATGATATACAGTATATCATTATATCTATATATTATCATATATGTGAATTATAGATAGTTGCATAATTGTATATATATAAAACCAGCGGATCCTGGAGTCAAGGTTTTCCTCCACGCAAATTCTTAACCGTTCAGGCTCGGACAGCTTCATGATGGAGGTAAGGTGGCTCCTCCTGGTGGGCGATTCTGAATGGCTACACATTCAATGGTCATTTCAGGAACCTAAAATGGAGGTACTGTACCATATAAGGCCATATTTTGTGGGTAGGTATATTCCCTTCTTGTAATTCAACATACCTATGAAAGCTGGACAAGTTTGCAGAAGATTTACATGTTAAAACCTATAGAATTTGGGATTTTCCATAACTATGCATAATACCCCCTGGTAAACTAACATAGATATGGACATGTGATAAGTAAATCATCGACTAGAAAGGCCATGTACAAAAACTATATTAGATTGTATAGCTACCAGGGAGTAAGTGTACTTGATATATTCCAGTAAAAAGACTACCGTAGCATTTAGATGCATAAACATCATCTATCCATTGCTATTTATATGAATATCATTCGACCTAGATCTATGTCCCCAAGCTACCAGTATCTACCAGCTTTCGTGTGCTACTCGACATGGAGTTTCAAACACCAGCGTCTCGGAGGCCATAAAAAAACATACCAACCAATTACCTGCATACCATTACTATAGGGGTATACCCAATTTCATGGCACCCCAACGTAGGGAGGGTCTATTTTGGGGTTTACCTCCTCAATTGATTGAAGACTTCTCAAAGTCCATTGAATTTCCGCCTTAAAATGCTAACAGCATGATAGGAAGGTGCATTTGTCAACGCCCAAGACCCAGGCGCAGTTGGAGTCAATTCAAAATATGGGTCTGCACAGAACTGGGGTACTGTATACCCCATTCTGTGATATCTACATATTTTATGGCCAGAATAATATGAAAAATGAAAAAGCTCCTATGGGGTACCCTGTTTTAAGACAAAGCCATATGAAAGCATCTTGAAACTTTCTGAGCGCAAAAGTTTGACCTATGTCCATGGACAAACACAGTTTGTAATGTATTGTTTCCATTATACTCGTAGATGTCTGAATATGTCGGAAACCAACAAGCGACCACAATGATCCTTTTCCGTAGCCAGACCCAGACTTTTTGGTTTTCCCTCATCTGAATGAAAAGGAATACACACATTTTGGGATCTGGGCGAAAAATTGCGAAAAGGTATACCATGGTATATCAACCCCTCGACTGGCCCAACCTCTACCTCGTCAAAGTCATGGGCGAAGGGTTCACGATGACGATGATGCTGGCAGCCATGGAACCACCAAGGATATGGCTTCCAGGATTCCAGGTTGCGCACTGCCAGTTGCTTCGCATCTTCCACATTTGACATACTCAGCAATTAGCTTTATATACATATAATTACATATATACATATATTGCATACACTGATGTATACATATATACATGTGTATATGTATATATATTAATCAACATTGATTAGCTTTGTGTTTGATATGTTTTGCCTTTGAGTTCATTATTCTATACAACAGGAGATCGGCGCCTCCCGCATTTCTCGAGCAGCTTGGGGAGTCTCTGGTCGCGCTTGGAGTTCTTCGCCTTGGTGTCCATGAATCACCGGAAGTTTGATCATTTTGGGCGGATATATATATATATGATATACAAATATATGATATGTGATATGTGATATGTGAATATGTGAATATGTGAATATATGTGATATGTATATCGATTTATTCTCTCATGAAACCAGTAAGCTATATCACCTAGCCTACTGAATATATGAATATATTTATGACACCAACTGGATCAAAACAGGGATCGTTGGCACCAAAAGAGGGTTTGAACACCGAAACCGGACATATTAACCCTCAATGCGGAGGTCTAGGATCCAGTTCGAAAATTCTTCGCCACAAACAAAATGGATGCCCCCTATATTACTTGGCAAATCTGGAACTTTAGGGCGAACAGGGATAACCTGACCTTATCTAAGGCAAGTTTCACCAGATTTCCGGTCAACGACAGGGTCCACAAATGGACAAAACACAAGGATGGAAAAATTGGATTTTGAGTTTGTGGTGCCTCATGATTTTCCATTGTTTTTTTGGTATGACATACATTAAATGGCCATTTGGATCCATTTGGAGGTCTACCCATTTGGGGATGGGTCAAAACCCTGGTACCTAGTGAACCCCAAAATAGCTGGTAAATGGATGTTCATCCCACTAAAAATGGTATCTATATGTATTGATCCATACCCAAATTTTCAGACCGACCCATCAATTCTGCCATTGGTTTCTTTTTGGGCAACGGCATCCACGGCTCGCTCGGCTCCCAGGGCGGTTCCCCAACTGGACGCCAGTGAAACAAACAATGGTAAGCGTTGTGAGACCAGACTGTGACCTGGGACTTCATGGGAAACTTAGCATGTTGTTTTTCCCCAGTTCTACAGTTTGTTTTTTGGATGTAAACAAATAGATACTTATATAACAATATATACATATATATGATTATATGATTATATATGACATGTGATGCAAATAAATCAATTAATATAATAATACGGCGTATAGTAGATTATATTAGTAACACGGCACCATGTATGTTTGCTTCAAACGGTCAGAACGGTTTTCCGTGCTATCAGTTGCATCGCCCGTGTTGGTTTGACATGGTCTATACTAACCCCGACAAAAATATAGAAAGGCAATTGCCGACTGAATTTTGGTAGGATTTGATTTGTTTTTTTTTTGTGGGGGATTATGCTACAAACCCCCCGTTGCAGCAAACACACAATGGGTCACTCCCACTGCGCAGCTGCCCATCGCACCGTTCAAGGCCCGTTCAGGGCCCATCGTCCTGCGGCACCGGCGCGTAGCCCGTCTTTTCCCTCAACTTTTGCGCCACTGTCTGCGGCATGATGCCGAACCTTGCGTAGCACCACGAGGGTCAACCCTGAACAGGGTGCTTTCAACACCCAAGGTAGCCGTGATGAGCAAGCCTGTTGAAAAGGGGATCATTTGGGGCCCAAAGAAACAGATCCAATACTATATTATATCAGGATTGCTTAGCGTGTGGTGGATTTGTTTTAAGATTATGCTGAACTATGTTATTTGCTGATAAAGATTGCAAATATGTTTGGTCTTCATCAAAGTTTCACTATTTCCCCAGGGATCCATCTGCGGGGTGAACCACAACTTTATGCGTGTGGGTATGACTGGATAAATCAACAGAATGTATCATAATGTATGTATGTAATGTAACGTAATGCAATGCAATGCAATGCAATGCAATGCAATGTAATGTAATGTAATGTGTAATGTATGTCATGTATGTCATGTATGTCATGTATGTCATGTATGTCATGTATGTCATGTATGTCATGTATGCAATGCATGTAATGTGATGCGTGTAATGTGTGTAATGTGTGCAATGTGTGTAATGCATGTAATGTATGTAATGCATGTAATGGATGTCATGCATGTAATAGATGTAATGTATGTAATGTATGTACTGTGTGTGTAATGTATGTAATGTATGTAATGTATGTAATGTATGTAATGTATGTAATGTATGTAATGTATGTAATGTATGTAATGGATGTAATGCGTGTAATGTGTGTAATGTGTGTATTGCGTGTAATGTGCGCAATGTGTGTAATGCATGTACTGCATGTAGTGTGTGTGTAATGCATGTAATGCATGTAATGCATGTATTGCATGTAGTGCATGTAATGCATGTAATGTATGTAATGTATGTAATGTATGTAATGTATGTAGTGTATGTAATGTATGTAATGCATGGTAATGCAATGTAATGTAATGTATGTATGTGTGTGTATGTACATATCTATACACACCACGTGAACACATTGCAAAATGAAAAGTAAAAAAGACCTCTGGGTCGAGCGGTCTTATATTCTTACCCATACCCTTATTGGGATAGTCGTAGGTGGACATGCAGTGGCTGAGTATGTGCCTCTTGAAATCCTGTGTCAGGGCTGTCCTGGATGCAAAGGGAATCAAAATAATCAATAACTACAATCAAATACAGCATATTAGTGAACAATAATAATTAGTAATACATAATACAATTCACAAGTATAAGACAATTTTTTCTGGGTATTGCTCATGTACCATGCGCATCCTAGATGTTGGAAAGCTGCAGGATTTTAGCATCCAGTTCCAGTTCCAAGAAGCTGCATCAAGACGTGCAGAGTGCCGACCAAGAGCATGGCAAGAGCGGCAGCCAAGTGCACCAAGGAGAGAAGTGAGGCGAAACAGGCCTGAATTTATGTCGACATGGCCTCACAAAGATTAGCCACCTATAGATTATTCTTGATTGAGGAGTATCCTGGTGATGATGGGTGATTTGGGGACTTCCCAACTCAAATTCTATGTCTATTGGGTGCTGGGGCTAGGGAGGAGAGCTACCCCTGCAGCAGCAGCAAGCACTTAAAAAAGGGGTCCCGGAGTTGACTTTCGGGATCAGGCGAACCCGTGGGGAACTTCCCGTGGGGATGGGCGTTCTGCTTATCACATTGCTCTATAGTAATTTTCCAACGTTGCTACATGTTGCTACAGTCTTTGGGTCTCTAGGTCAAGTCTTTACCAAAACAAGCGCAAAACATGAGCCGAGAGACCCACATTGCCCCTTGATAGATGTAGAAAAGCCCACGACCTGCGCTGTTTCGGAGCCAGGCATTTGCATAGTGGGGCCCCCAAAGGATAGCTAAGGTGACCTCCAATAACTATGGCAACTATGATCCTTATAACATCTTAAAACATCTTATAACATCTTATAACATCTTATAACATCTTATAACTACATAGTATACATAACTGTTAACTAGAATACTTTTTCGCGTACTATGCTATTCTTTAAAGTATTCAGGGCCGCTATATATAATTCTATATATACTATATATATATATAATAGTGCCAACCAAATAAAGTAAATTACTATAGTTACATACTTTTTTTAGAAGCAACAGCTACATCAGGAACAGCATTCAGTCGCTTGTCCAACCTCCAGCTCGAGTCATGAAGTGTGCCTCATCCATGATGAGGTCCTGAAAAAAAATGTGGATCAAGTCATGGGGGCCAAATGGGGGTCGCAAGTCTTTAACCAGCTTTTTATCGCTTCCTGTGTATATATCTATATTATGTACTAATACACGTATTGTAAAATACGGATATCTATAAATACAATGTGTATATATATATATATACGTATATAGAGTTATGTATATATATATGGTTATATATATATAATTATATATGTATGGTGTGTTTCAAATCTTAAACATGGGGACCTCCCAGAGCCATAGGTTCCCGCTCAAATAAAACAGCAATTTGGAATGGATTTAGGCTCAAGTCTCAGACCAAACATGAGGGGAATCACAGGATTTTGCGACCAAGAAACAGAGCGAGATAATAGGACGAATACACAGAAGGAGATATCACAAACCCGTGACTGTGTGAGAATGACTCCTCAAAGTGAAAAAAAAACGACAAGTGTCATGATGAGCAACAATGTTCTATTATGTTCTATTTACATGACCACTGTATATACTATACTATAGCAACAAGTTGTCAAAGAAAAATGGACCCAGAAACTTGAAGGATATTGGACTGTAGACAGTAGTACGTTGGCCTTGGCAGTTGGACAAACCTGAAAAAATGTAGTTCCATCTGCCGCAATGGGAGGAGTCCTATGGTTTTCTAGATGCATGTAGAGTATGGACTATAGACCTTTTCGTAGACATCCTGCAATGATTTGGCCCTGGGTTTCAAATTGTGGTTGCATTCATAAAGCAAAACAACTAAAACTAACCATCAACCAGCAGTTTTTGCAGGGAGAACAAAAACTGATCATTCCCCTCCTTCCACTCCACCGCCCTTGTACTTGCAGGTTTATCTGAGTTACAAAGTGGTTTGTAACCCTGGCTACCAAGTCCTCCCCTTAGCTCGGGTGGATCCCATTGATAACCACGGAAACTCACCAGGCTGGCTTTTGCAAATTCATCAGCAGGGTTCATTGGCATTCATTGGTTCTATCGCAGCGTAACTCCAATCATGCTTTGTCAGTCATATCATAATTGGTATCACTCAAACCAACAATAATAATGCTATATCGTCACCATGCTTTTATATAGATGTAAATATGATAACATCCCAATACTAAACACCCCCAATGTCTGGTATGAAAGCTGTGCTTCCATCCCCGACATCCACCATTTTACCCCTCCCTGACCCCCGTCCTGGTAATGGGTGACCCCAGGCACCATGGCCACCCAGTGCGCCGGCATCTCAAAGAGCATGGTTGTCACTGCGAAGATGCCCTGGAAGCCACTAATGACCTGAATTCTGGACAAGTCTTAGGGAAATCCTGCAATGGTATACCCTCTGGTAAACGTTTACATAACTATGGAAAATCACTATTTTTTTGATGGGAAAACTCACTATTTCTATGGCCATGTTCAATAGCTATGTTAAATTACCAGAGGGTATATTAAGTGCATATATTCATTCAAAGGACCCCTGGCCCTATTCAAAGGGATGCTGTTTAGCTCTGCAAGGGTCGGAGGCAGCTTGGCTGCGAACAAGCAACAAAATGCACTGAGGTAGCCCAAAATGGAAAATATTGGTCATATTTTAATTTATAATTTTTGAAAAAAATAAATAAATAAAATATAAAACATAGTTTTTCATATTTTTTTAGAAGGGGGCAGGGTACCCTTCTGCTCAACGACCTCGTCCCACACCCCACAACGCAGAAACCATATTTTTTTCATAGGTGTTTTTTCATTATTTTGCTGCCCAATTCCATCAACTTTAAATTAGCAACCCTTTGAATAGATCCCCAGAGATGAAAAAAAATCTGTATATATAATAAAAATATATATACAATATACAACAGAAAAAAAAAAACATATAGGTAAGACATAGATTAGAATATAGATATTACAATATTTGTAGGATATAAGTCCAAACTTCATCTATCTAGGGCAGGGGAAAAAACATGTGTTTACAATATATTACAATTGTATTTCTTGCATCCACCATTCATTGAAAAACAATTGCGTTGCAACACCCTGCCAATTCCAATTGCAAGTAAGGCACCGCCCACGCCCTCTTCCATCTAAGACTTTTTTTTGAAAAAATGATGGTTGGGGTGTCAGCAATTTGAAATTATAATTACAGTAGATTGTAACTTGTTGGTAATTTGAATCATTAAATCTATAGTCTATAATCAACTAGGTAATTTAACATAGCTATTGAAAATGGCCATTTATAGTGGATTTATCCACTAAAAATGGTGATTTTCCATAGCTATGTTAGTTTACCAGAGGGTAATCTATTACAACCAGATGGTGTAACCAGTTGAGAAACTGTTCCATCCACTGCTCCGGTCATGAAACCACCCAGCGACTGAAAAGGGGGACAATCACCGCGACAGAACCACTTGCTGGGATGATCCTCCAAGGGCTAATCTGGCCTGACAATGGAGCATCCCCTAGGCCCTAGTTATATATATATAATGTATATGTATGTGTATATATATACAATTATATACATATATATATACATATATATATATATATACATCCATTGTAAGATGTTGGTTTTGAGAAATGAATTGAACGCAGGGTGCAAATGGGAGATCAGATCCCCTGTGAACTCAATTACCCTTGGGGTAAAACATTCCATACATGGACGATCTGTGACTGGTTACAGCCCAAAAAAGTCAGATGGAACCTCAAAAAAACGGCAATTTCAATTAGGAAAGTCAGCTTCCTCATGTGGGGTCCACACTCGTTTTCCGGAACAGTGATTTTTGTGGGTGGTAGTTTGAATTCCTCAAACGAAGCGGTGATAAATGTCCAACTCATGATCCTTCCAAACAGGAATGGTAAATGACCAGAGCAGAGTAGGTCATTGTTGGCATGGCGCAAGACCCAGTGAAAATTGACCCCCAAATATGTGGAAACTGGCAGAGTATTAAATGCCGATGCTAGATGCTAGATCACCCAAAGTGTCAGGATCTTGATGCTGACCGCCCAAGGGCTGCTTGGATCCCAAAATTTCTTTCGAGAAACAAACTTTAAACGCACCAAATCCATCCAAATCCCTTCATTTATGGTAGATCTCTCATCCAATGGGTTTTATTCCAAGACGCATATCTGGAAGGTCCCATCAAAACACCTGGCATAGCCAAGACCAGCCCTTTGGGCAAGGAGCTCAGGAGGAATTGCCCTTCAATAATCAAACAGTGCAATTAAAAATCCCTCATAAGTCATAAGTACAGATATATGCATATATATATGTTATAAATATTATATATATGATATGTATGTATGTACACAGATGTTTAGTGGCTGATTTTTCCATTAAATAAAAATTTCACTTATAGATGAGTTTCCCATTAACATCCTCCATGAAAATCAATGATGTTCCGTGTTCCCATCAAAATCCGCAATAAAGATTATTTTCCCACGAGAAATTTGATGTATAGTGAATTTCCAATTCCATGTTTGATGAAACCAGAGGGTATCTGCCCCACTTGCATATCTAAGCCACCCATGCCTCAGCTGCTGGTCAACCAGGTGTAGGGATGGAAGTGAAAAGTCGTTGAAATACCCAAAAACCAATAAAAAGAACTTTATCTGTGCTATTACTATTACACTATATTACATTCATGATAATTCCCGGTTTTTGGTGGTCAAACCCCTACATAGCTGTTGGTAAAATACCAATTTAGCTTGTTCCACCGGGTTGCTCCCCCAAATACAAGCGGGTAAATTGTCTAAATAAAGAGGTCACATCACACTGTTTTCCCCTGGTGGTTATCATTTACCTCTGCATATGGAGTTTTCCTAAGTCATGGGGGTACTCCCAGTCACCATCCAAGTCATGGATGATGATTTTAGTATTGAAACCTATGGTGACTTTGGGGATCCCCCATTTTAAGAACCCCTCAATCCCTCATATACCCTCTGGTTATTTGACATAGCTTTTAAAATGGCCCATGTGTACATGATTTATGGTGATTTACCTATTGAAAATTGTGATTTACCTATAAAAAATGGTGATTTACTTATTTAAAAAATGTGTTCCATTTCGCAAACCGTTTTTCAGAGGGCAGTCTCTACATCCGCAGCCGAGCCGAGCCGCTTTCCACGTGCAGCATCTCCATGAAACACGCCGCCAGCGATGCAGCCCCGGCGGCAAAGGCCAGCAGTCGCAAGCCCGCGGGGCCCTGGGCGATTTGATCCTTGATGCGCAGAAAAATGATGACATTTATCAAGAAATGTTCAATTCCCCCTTAATGATGGCATTTATTCCCCCACATTCCCCCACAATTTACAGTTTACCACGACAAATCGGTATGAATCAAGAAACACTGTGCTTTTAGCAAGAACACTCATGATTTTAATGGTGATTTTACGCAACATTGGGATCTGTGCAACACGAAGTGCAAAGGGATTCACCAACACAGTTGGGTTTCAGCAACAATCAATGGGTTTTGGGTACGGGGACGGATCAAGAACCACTAAGAAATTCCCATATTTGCATGGGTTGTATGCAAGAAATCAATGGGTTGCACTAAGGTAAATGGATGGTATGAATCCACACAATCGGTTGTATTGAGTCAGCTATCTAATTTTGGGTGTCAACAGTATCGAGCATTGGCTATAAGGAAAATTCACAGCTCACCATCCAAATAAAAATCTGGGAGAAATCATGTATGTTTGTCCCTGAACCCAATATGGGATCCAACATGGGACCCAATGTGAGACCCAATATGGGAACCAAAGAAAAAAAACGAAAACTAAACTGGTTTGTGGTTGAGCCAGTTCCCATGCAATATTAGTATTAGTCAATTGGGGGGAGGCATCCTTTTTCTTTTCAGGGGAAAATAGCATGCAGGCGTTCATACCTGGTATTGTCTCAGAGAGGGTTCAGAAAATACTAGCCCACGATGGAACCACGAAAACCGAGATAAACTAAACAGAACTAAATAGCACTAAAACAATACTGTACCAAATAAAGCTAATGGGCAAAGACCCGGGCAAAATCCTTCATGTTTTTTTTTGACAACCAGGCTCACCCCTTCCCAATTTTCGGCCCGGCTATAGGGGCAATAGATAAAGCTGGAAAAAATGCTTTCTTCGAGTGATCCCCATCCTGAAACACTATTCTGACATAGTTTCTGACATACCATCTGGAAGTATATATGGCATATTTATTCTGACATTCTATCTGACATTCTTTCTGGCATATACTTGACATTCTCTCTGGCGTCTGGCTGACGGTGCCCACTGAGGTCTGGGGCTCACGGTTCAGGTCCGGCAGTGCCCACCTCGCGGTTGAGGTCCGGCAGTGTCCACTGAGAGCTGGCGCTCGCAGTTGAGGTCTGGCAGTGCCGGAGGAGAAGGAGAAGGGCGAGGAGGAGAAAGCAACTCTGATAAAATCTAGAGACCCTCACCTGGCAGGTGGGGAACTAGAAAAGGCTCCAAAAAGGATAAGGCTAGAACAGCCGAACAGCCTAGGAAAAACTAGCAAGCCTTGAAGAAGCTCGAAAAAGCTAGATGTTCCTGGTTTTGAAGAATTCCTAGATGCATTCAAGTTTTGGGAAGGAAACACCTAGCCTTTCTTAAGTCATGGTTTCTTCCTTTCATCTCTCACCCCCTCTTGAAGCCGTCCTGTTTGAAGCTTTGAAGCAGCCCCATTGGGTTTTGGAAGACGGTTTCACATTGCTTTCAGCTAGAAAGTTACTTTATATAATCATGCACCATTTTCTGAATCAAATACAGAATGCAGATGGGCCCATGCCAAGCAAAAACTCTGCCAAGCATCAGCAAACATCTGGCCCGCTCTGGCCATGGCCTGCAGAATGCTGGAAGTAATCAAAAACAACAGCTGGAAGATGCGCTCTCTGCCGGGTATGTACTCAGTATAGTTCTAAATAAGACCAATTACTTGATGGTGCTTAGTAGCGAATAGGGGAATGGGATGAGTGTTGACAGTTATTTTGTATCATTCCCCCATTCCCTACTAACAACCAGCAAGATTCTGGCCTTATACACATGGGGTTGTAAACCATAACCCTCCTTAATAATAAACCAACTTAGCTATCTAGGGGGCACCCTGGGTAGAAGGGAGCAGGTCAATTGGATGGAGGGCAAAAATTACACAATAGTACCGATTTCCCCACAATAGTGGCTATCATGTCGCTACAAATCCTGCAATAGGTTGGAGCGCCCCTGTTGTATCGTCATGGTACATCCATTTAATTTGTCGCTTGTTTACCAATACTTTGCCAATCGAAATTGACATTTGTAGGGGAACAACATTAACAAACTGGGGGGTTACTACAAAAAAATAAATGGCCTATCAGCATGTTCATACAGTTTCCCAATTCAACATGGTCATGTATAGAAATTTGTGTACCCACATCATTCCATCCAACATCCATTTGTAGCTTGATTCTTCCCTATTTTCCCAATGAAAATGGTTATTCATAGTTTGTTTTTCCTATATATTCCCCTATTTGTAGCTTGTTTTTTCTTATTTTTCCCACATTTTCTGCATATGTTTCCCACAGTTGTCCATATGTTTTTCCCACATGACTCCATATGTTTCTCCTATTCTTTCAATGATTTACACCGATATCTCTTCATATGTTTTCCCACATATATCCCATATTTTCTCAACATCCCAACGTCCCATCCCATCCCCCCCGGCGTGGCTGTCCCGGCGCCTGCCCCGTCGCCTTCGCCGCCTCCGAGGCGTAGTGCTTGGCGCGGTGCTGGACCTCAGGATCCGTGGCCCAAGCGGTGACCTGGCAGCCAGGATGGATAGATTTGATAGATCATATTTGTCTATATACTGTAGATAGTGGGATATATATATGTATATATGTGCGTAGTAGTGTATGTATACATATACATGTATGATATATGATACAAATAGTAGGAAACATATCTGGTTGGTGGTATACTACCCCTCTGAAAAATATATGAGTCAGTATCATGAATTATTCCCAATATATGGAAAAATAAAAAATGTTCCAAACCACCAACCATATATATATATATATGCATAGTAGTGTATATATATATATGATATGATATAGATAGTAGGATATATATATATGTATATATGTGCGTAGTAGTGTATGTATACATATACATGTATGATATAGATGGTATATATATATACATGTATGATACAGATAGTAGGAAACATATCTGGTTGGTGGTATACCTACCCCTCTGAAAAATATATGAGTCAGTATCATGAATTATTCCCAATATATGGAAAAATAAAAAATGTTCCAAACCACCAACCATATATATATATGCATAGTAGTGTGTGTATATATATATGATATGATATAGATGGTAGTAGATGTGTATTATAGAATGTAGATATTGGATATCATATCCTACATGGATATATTATGTATATTATTATATATCTATAACATCCTAAAGGCATGTCTTAGACTTATGTGTGAATGAATCACCCTAAACTCCATGTATTTAAATATATATATGTGTGTGTGTTCTATATGTTTGATAATTTCCGCTGGAAAACTAGCAATATTAAAACTTATGCAGTGCTTCATGGGTTGTTTGACCCTCGCGTTTGCAGCTGTTGAACATGTTGATGCCAGACAATTTCTCCGGCTCATTCACAAAAATGTAAGATGTGCTGGTCGGGTTATGCCAGAATACAATCGTGGGTTATCCAGACAAATTTCTGTATCCCTCCAAACAAGTTCTCTCAAAATCACTCATGTAGATAAACAAGTGGGCATGGCTCGCCATTGGCTATCTCAAAATTGGATGCTTAAGGTCCAAATTCCAAATAAACACAGCCAAACAGCTGGAACCAAACTTGGGTACTTGAAAATGTGATGGTCTAAGTCTACTCTCAAACATATGTATACATCAAACACATCCAAAAACTTAGGCTTTCATGGCTGCAAATTTTGACGCACGCCCAAGTGTGTAGGGGGTCGACGGGTCTGAAGAACGTTGATGCTCTGGATGACCGTTCTACTTAGAAAGTTGTTTGAAGCCATGTCCATAATCAAAGTAAAAAAAGTAACAACTGGATCTATGTTCAAACCAAGTCATGAAAAGGTAAACATACCCCAGTTTTAGCAGTTTATAGAGCCCTCAATTCTTGGAGAAACCCAATACTCGCAGAGTTCCTGTGGGTTACCAAATGTTACCAACCAGTTCCTACCTATCCTCATATGTTCTTCATATGTTCTTCATATGTTCCCCACTGTGTGGCAATGTTGCCCCCATTGTGTCCCCATGTCCCAAATGGACCCTACCACGGCCTGATCTCGCACCAGGGCGGCGATCTCCGGACCATGATCCTGCTCGATTGGGGCATGTATTGGAGCCATGGCTTAATGCTATTATCTCTTGATGCACATGGATATATCAATAATACATTAAGATGATATCATATACTACATGTTTTTCTCTAAAATTGGATATCATACAATACATTCTACATTATTAAATGATTTTCAATGGTTATATCCACTCTAGACTCACTTTGGATGCTTCTTCATCATCCTCAAAATGCCGAAAACTATCAAGAATCTTCAAGAATCATTCGATTCCCATAGTTCAAGAAAATGCCATCTATTCTTTGAAACCACTATATGGTGGTTTCCTGAAATAGTGCTACCCCCAAATCATCCATTTTGATTGGATTGTCCATGAAATAAACCAACAATATTTTTGGATACCCCCATTTATGGAAACCCCCATATACATATAATTATATATATAATTACTACAGTATTAATTACGTTGCTTCACTTTGCTTCTGAAAATCGTTGCCATCCCAGGCTCCCAGAGGCTCCAAGATGGTCCCAGTCTCCTGTGCAGCTTGCACCAAGGCACTCTGCACTTGTGGATCATTCAAGGCCTGGACCACTGAGCGCTGCGAATGATTCATGGGATTTCATGAGATCTAATGGGATTTTTCATGGGATTTAATGGACTTTGAGAGGGATAAGAAATATTAAATTTAATCGAATTTAATGGGATTTAATGGGATTTAATGGGATTTAATGGACTTTATTAAAAAATTGTATTTTATGAACTTGAATGGGATCTAATGGGAATTCAAAGGTGAAAAGAAAACACATGGCTTTGTCTGAGAATGGGGTATACACCTCCAATTCAAAGCCATATTTTCACCAGTGGATTTAAGGGCACCATATTTGCAGACAACCCAAATTCCTTTTGACCGGTTTGGGCGCCTTGAATGATGTGTAAATTGATGTAAATTGCTGAGAGACTTGCAATCATATAGCAATAGGTCAAGGTTTCAAATTCATGGAATCACAATCGTTGGGAAAATTTAGGAAGTCTAGTAAATATTTGACGCAGCCAAGTTTGAACCTATCCTATACCCACATGAAATAATATCAAGAACAAATAAAACATGTCTCACATCGCACATGGAATCTCTTGCCAGAAGGGAGTGCCTTGAAATTCTTGCCCCCATACCTGTAGCCGTTGAATCACCAGTTGTGCTGCTTGCATTCTCGTCTTGTCGGGTTTCAACCACATGTTTTGGCTGGCATAATCAAACTTGGTCGGTTGGTTGGGTACCTTCTCCAGATTTCAATGCATTTGGACCGAGGACGGGGATTCAACCAACAAAAAGCCTGGTGGGCATCAAAACCCAAAGTGTCACTTAAAATAATGAACCATGACATGTCAGAACGAAAAAAAAAGATATCAGTCATGACCGTCATGACCAGTCCAGTTCTCCCATGGCCCATTTCGACCCATCCGGGCAACCTTCTCACCAGCATTCCGAAGGGATGCCTGCACCTGAGAAAGGAGGATCTGCCAGCGTGATCCTCCTCCCCATCACCATCAGGTCATGATGCAGACAATTTCAGACAACATAAAATAATGTAATCTTAGGGTATCCTCAGTTTGACGTGTCCCCATATGTCATATATATATGTATAATCATATACGTATTATCATATGTCATATATGTAGTGTCACATGTCATATATATATATAGTCATTAGTAGGATTGTTATTAATATACATGTGATATACATATATATATATATTGTTGTATATTGTTATATATTGTTATATATTGTTACATATTGTGAAATATTGTTATATATTGTTATATATTGTTAAATAGTGCTATATATTGGTATTATATATTGTTAGATATTATGAGATATTGTTATATATTGTTATATTTTGTTATATATTGTTATATATTGTTATAGTGTTGTATATTGTTATATATTGTTATATATTGTTATATAGTGTTTTACTGTTATATACTATCATATATAATCATATTACCATATATTACCATACATTATCATATATTATCATATGCTAGTATTTTCATATGTGATCATATATGAACATAGCTATATTTTCGTATAGTATCATATATTATCATATATTGTCATATATCATCATATGAAAAACCTCCCTTCAATACATCTCAAAACCATCCACCAAGGGATGCAGTCGATGTCTGCCGCGCCTGAGGATGACTGAAAAGTTCATCTTGAAGGGCCGCCATGCGGCTGGAAGGCTACACGATTTTTTGTCAGAGATTCACCTTTTGGGACATAACGATCTACATCAAGCAACAAAGATATATAACGGGTGTTGACTCGTGTGAATTACAATACTTGGATATATGTTGGAGCCTTGCACATGAAACATGACAGCAGTTACAGCTGGTCTACGGACAATTATGACCCTGCTATGAGTTGGTGACGCTTAATTTCGATCAATGGTGAATTGGTCAAGCTGAAATTTCTTGGTGAGTTACCCTCTAGTAATTTAACATAGCAATTGAACATCACCATTTTTTATGGGAAAATCCACTATTAATGGTCATTTTCAATAGCTATGTCAGCTATTACCAGAGGGTAGTGAGTATTGCAATCACAGAAATCCCATTGTTTTTCAGCTTGCGCTGTGGTCGCGTCTGACCGTCAGAAACTTCGGTTGAATCCGCCATGTCGGTGGAAGAGACAGATATCTGTTGTGTAAACATGTTCAATGCCAAAAAAATCCGAGATGACTCTTGTTTCACACAATGACTCAACGAAATCTGGCCAGCGGCTCTGGAAACAGCTAAGCTAACTTTTGAAGCCAACCAGGCCCGAATCGTTCGTTTCATCCAAACCAGGCCATTCAGGGATGTTGAAATGGGCTGTTGTGGTGTGGTAGGCATCACTGTAGCCAACTTCATCTCAATATGAAAATGATAAGGCAACATGTCAAATGGCAGTACTCAATCCCATCATCACGGTTCAATTCATTTGAGGAGCAGGATCATATGTGGCATATGCGATAATTATATATATACACAATACTGTGTATGTATACAATAATGTCTATATAAATATATATACATACACATACACATATACATTATTATATGGCATGCACATAATATGTATATATATATACATATTCGTTTCATGATACTCTCTACATAAAACTGCCATGATTGCCAGTAAGGCTAGCCATAGATACACACCATTGGATCCGCAGCATGCGAACCATGGGTCAGTTGATGTCAGTTGCCCATCCCAAACATATCGCAACTTGGGAACCCAATTTTGAGCCGTGCCCAGATGAGTCTGGTTCAAAGTTGGAGATGTAGAATCCTGTATGTGTATATTATATATATACATATACCTATATATATATAGTGATAATATACACATATCCATATCATATTCTATATTCCACTGTATGTTCATCAAGCCATGTGTGTAATTTATAAGTCGACGTGTCTACATGGTTTTCTATTTACGGCATGTATGGTTGGGTGGCTAATCAGGGTGGTGGTTTCAATCACCTGAGTCTTAAATCATGACCCATGCAGTGTTGATGGCTAAAGTCGATCATGTTATTTAACATAGCCATGGTATGGATGGCCCATAGAAATAGATGGCTTACCGTTCTTAAAAATGGGTGGATTTTCCATGGCTATGTTAAATAAATTTTGATGGTTAAGCTGTTTCCAATTTTTTGCTGGCTGAATACCCAGTTTTGATGTTCAAAAAGCATCGCTGTCAAAACCAACTCAGCTTCCGCACGCTTGGGCGGCCGCCCGGTCAGCGCCGCTCGCTTTGCAGCCTGTCCAATTTACCCCAACGACTTGACCAAAGACAGGAAGCTGTTGGGGAAATTCGATTTATTCATTAAAATTCCAGCAGTTTTTTGCTGTTGAAATTTACATGTCCATTACACATCCACTGCTCTGGTGGTGAAATCTCCATCTGGTGACCGAGATGCGTTCGCTGATCGCCTCCAAATCTTCCTTTCGCCCGCGATCGCGCATGGAACAGCACTGTCGACCACCGGCCTCATCGTCGAGCCGACGTGTGCTACGGCGTATACGGTGCTACATCACTTGATGGTTACGGTAGACGGTAGAATCAATAAGTGGCACATGATTGATAGATAATGTTAGTGGTAGAATCTATTGTTAATATTTGTTAATGGTAGTATCTTTTTTTGAATGTCTTGTATACATTTGTACATATAAAATCATATAAATGTGTTGTTCATTGCCATGTTTGATTATCAGAGGTAATCCCATCCCAACTAATGGCGATGGGTCCCCCTTTGATTGCAACCGATTTTGTGTCAACGTCAATTTATCCAGGGTTGACGCAAGGCACTAGGCGGTAGAATCTCATGCCTCGCTTCATAAACCCCTTATATGGGACCCCTTTGACTGAAGAATGATCCGGTGCATTCACACGACGATGTGTGTCTTTTTTACAGGGCAAATGGATAAGTCTTCGTCCATATTCAACCTCAGTTGAATCGTTGGTTTCTTTTTTCTGTCGCAATCATTAAAGATCAAAAAACATGAAAAAATCATTGCCAACATGGACCCAGTACTGATGCTTGGGAGTACATGCCTCTAGTGGCTTGGGACAAGTAATTTGCTTCATTTTGGCTGTAGATGTATGACAGGAAAAACGTCCTCAACAAATATCAACGGATTTGGTCAACGTCATTCAAGACCTATCCATCACTGGCTGCCGATTGAATGGGCCCCCACCACGATGCTCCACATGGACGAGACCACATAGCCAAAGGTCTGCGGCGCTGAATCTGAGTACCAACGATTTGACCTACCGTCCCAAATCTGGGATGCTTCAGAGAAGAATGGCACTCACAAAGAAGAACAATTTATGTGTATATATATATGTATATATGTATATATAATTATATATGTATATATAATTATATATATACACAAACACTACACATTATATTACAATTACATATATGGTATTACTATGTATTACTTCTCTGGTTGCTTCAGCCATTCCCCATAAGCTGGTCACCTGGGGGACCTCCACCGGTGTTCCACTTTGGCGATCTTTCATCACTCTGGTGACCCACCTCTTGCATTGCATCCTCCCACTCAGCCCTCGGCAGAACGTCAATCAACATCAATCAAGATTACTATACGTACATTATCATAGACTATTCATGATGATTGTATGATTATAGATTATTGTGCACTATTGTACACTATTATACATTCAAGATCATTCAAACAACACTATACATGATTGTAAATTACAGTGACAGTATACCAAAGATTGCATTACATCTAGAATAGGCAAGTTCCTTACACTGCAAGCCATTGGACAGCTTACCCCTTGGGGCAACATGGGTTGCATGGCAACCCCATCTTAATCCCAATTTCTCCAGGTGGCTGAGATAATACATGATGATACCCTACTTAACACTGATACAAGGAACATGAATTGTTGCGTCCATATGTTCGTATAGGGAATTGTAACGATTTGGGGGAGCCCCTAATCTAAACTGCAGTGCTTATTCCTCCGGGGATGCCAAGGCCAAGAAAGTAAGATTTCAATGGATTGGCTTCAGGAGAAAACTACAGAAAAAAAATGAAAAAAACATGGATCTTACCATGGATTTGAGCATCAAACGCGAGAGCTAAACCATGCTAAACCAATGGACCATGATACTTCCAGGCCAATCACCATGGCCCTCCCATGGGATGTCTGAGCTTTCCACGTAGCGTTTCCCCACAAGGACTCCTCTTTCCCGTTGCCGTAGCTGTGACCGTTGCGGTACTCCTCCAGGGGGGCCATCCAGGATCTAGGCATGGCGGCATGTCTATGTAGATGGTCTTTTCCCCACACATTTCCAGATGTTCCACGTTTTTTGGGGCAACCCCCCACCATGTCACCATCTGCTGGTCCTGGGATGGGTACTCTTGATCCAACTCAGGTCGATAGCCACCTGCCATGACGCATACCGGGTAGACCGAAACGACATGAGATGCCATGATGCATGAGTCATCCATGTTATAAACTGCTTGGTGGTTGAGCCCTACCCCTCTGAAAAATATGAAAGTCAATTGGGATGATTATTCCATATTATTCCCAATATATGGAACAATAAAAAAAAAGTTCCAAACCACCAACCAATATAAAGTTATTATAAAGAATTCCCAATCCAAATCGCAGTATCATCGAATGTAAACTGTCCTGAAGGCTACGTATGACTGCTCAGCCCAAATGCGGCTCATGTGCATCTCGATGGATGTGCTAAAATTGTATGCATGTTAGTTAGGATTGGATTGGGTTCGATTAGATTAGATATGATTAACTTAGGTTAGATTTTATTAGTCCAGATTATCTTGGAGAAATCTCTGGACACAGGTCCAGTCCCATCAGCTTCAATGAAAATGTAAGCCATAATGCCACCATTCATCCATAAGACGGTCAATCTTTGGTGCTTATGGTTAGTTTCCATTTATATATATATATATATAAAAAATACATTATAATACCATCCAGTAAAAATTTACGTAAAAATCGCATACTGAGCCCAATTTTCATTAATTTTTTCCACTTTCACTATCTTTCACTTATTAAATATGGTTAATAACGGTTAATACATAGCAAAAAAACGAGAGTTTTTTCCACTCCCCGGGGGCCCAGTTGCTGCCACTTGGGGAACCCCCACGGGCCCCACGGCTCCGGTCGAAGACGCGGGTGTCGAATCCCAGGTCCTCTGTGCGGGCGCCTCAGTGGCATAAGCTGCTTCGAATGAATTCGAATGTACCAAATGTGAATTTTATAACTTACAGAGCTATATGATATAGGTATTATATAGTTGATGGCCATCTTTATGTGTATATATATATATACATATATATATACTTCAATGATATTGACCTGTTATTTTACTGCTGATCTTCCATAGTACGTCAAATTACCAGATGGTGATGGCTATCCTCTACAGCAACAGAAGCCATAGGAAAATCCTGGAAGCTCCACGAACTTGATTCATTTTCAAGTCGTTGGCCCATAAAAATGAGCCAAAAAACACAATGGTAACACTAAGTACTGGAAACTGACCCAATAAATAAACGTAAAGAGAAGATTCTTTAGTGGATATGATGCAACAAATCAACAACTAAAAATAGTGGAGTATGACTCTATAGTGGATTTGATCGAAACCAATCAGTTGAGTTAACAAACGGAGGACTTAACCACTCCTACCTATATTAACTACTCTGTATTATGGTAGTTTATTATAGTAGTTTAAACTACTAGATGGTAGTTCATTATAGTAGTTATTTTATGGTAGTTTATTGTGGGAGTTTATACATCTATGGATATTATGGTAGTTTATAACTATCTGTTATATTGTAGGACCACTAGTTTGATAAAGTTGAACCATCCCCTAGATGCATTGATGAACCACCCCACCTGGTTAAGAGAAACACACAAACTACTAGAATGTCTACATCAATACATGTAATTAATTACATAAATACGTATAGTTAATTCAATCATGGAACATGTTCTTAATTTATTAATACCACTCGAAAAAACCCAAGTGGGTCATGAAATGGAACAATTGGTGTACCTGACCTAATTGAGAGGACTTCTCCGAAAAGACCGGGGCCCCACCCATCTTTCTGAAGCAGGACCGCGGAGAAACGTGCCGCAAAAAAAAACACAGAGGCGGATTTATCCATCATCGATTTCCAGAGTAACAGCCATGGCTCCAAATTTTTGAGTACCCCCAAGAATTTCATACAGTACCACTTTCACGTTGGCACGTTGGCTCTCCGTTTTCACAGGCACGTTGGCTCGTCAGTTTCGCCAGGTCACCATATGCCAAAGGATCCCTGGTTCCCTTGGACCTGGCACCACAGCCGGTTCAACTCGGTGTCATCGGGAGTGCTTCGCTGAAACCAAGGGATTCCTTGAAACAAAGGGACAGCCTTGGTGCATCGGTTTTTGTCGGTTTTTTAAACTGCGGTTTTTAGTAGCACTGATTTTTTCATTGGGGGAAATCAAGATTGATAGATTTTTCTTTGGGGAAGTAACAATCTAATCTGTTGTTAAATCACTGTTATCTGGGGAAGTAACAAGGAATTTCCAAACCACAGCTTCACACATGAATAAATGGTGCCTCACGTATCTGCCTGGATTCCTATTTTTCAGGATCACAGCTGTCCCAGGCTGTAACTCGGCTCGCGCACGCGCGCAGCGGCCCGGGTTCTGTAATGCCTGGCTGCACAACTGGCCCCAAGACCTTCATCTGGATGAGGTTCAGGTTTTACATCCCATCCCCCATTGGCCCCGATCATATCAAATACTCCCCAATCTTTTTTGGGGGGCCCAAGAATGAATAGATCCAATACTCAACCATGATTTCTGGGTATTTCATATTTGGATGTGTTTGGGGGAAGGGATTTCTACCATGGTTCAAAATTAAAGATCCTTGAACTTCATCCAAGCCAGGTACCTCTGTACAAACAATGTGGCATCTATTTAAAGTTGACCTAGACCTATGGTATAACGATCGATTCTCAAGATGAAACTTGTTGTTCTTTCTTATCCACACATCTTGTTAGGGAGACTTTGTTAAGGTCACCATTTCACCAGTGGACATCCGGCTGTTGGTCGAAAAAAATCCTGGGCCACCCCAAAACTGCTGGACATATCTGGACATGCATTGCTACATGATCGGCCGTTCCAGTGAATAGATTAGCTAGATAGATAGATAGATAGATAGATAGATAGATAGATAGATAGATAGATAGATAGATAGATAGATAGATTGATAGATTGATAGATAGATAGATAGATTAGATAGATAGATAGATTAGATTAGATTAGATTAGATGAGATGAGATGAGATGAGATGAGATTAGATTAGATAAGATAGATAGATAGATAGCTAGCAGATAGATAGATCATTCTAGATCATTCTAGATCATTCTAGATCATTCCAGATCATTCTAGATCATTCTAGATCATTCTAGATCATTCTAGATCATTCTAGATCATCAAGCGTTACCTTCTACATCCTTCTACCATATGGGACATGGGACTATTTTGATATGTTTGACTATTGGATACCTGCTATGGCAGTGTCGGTCATAGTTGACTGGTGGCTTCAACTTATCTTATTCAGAAACCATAGCTCGGGTATCATGCCCAAATTCAGGCATTCCATGTCCTCCATTAAAAGAAAAAAACAAGTTCAGCAGCTCAATAGTACATTGCTCCGTTTACGGTCCTTTATGTTTTATTACTCATGTATAATTCATGTATAGTTAGCAAGCAGACCAAGCTTCATCCAGGTACAGGCCAATCCAGGTACAGGCCAACCGTAAACATCACCCATTTCCAAATGATTAGCAAATCACAGCTTAGAAATTAGGATGTCTAACTGTCAGGTGAAAATTACCACAAGTGATCAAAAGGATAACACCTCCTAAAGTCCCCATTTTTGAAACTGGAATCCGAATTTTCGGAAATCATATGCTTCCCCAAAGCCTCCAGCGTCCAGCGCTGCGGAACGCTGCTTGTCTGAGCGCACAGGTGGTTGAGCTACCCCTCTGAAGAGTATGATCGTCATAGTGATAGAAAGATATGTGGATAGTAATAGGAAGATATATAGTGAAAACTAGTACTAATATTGATTACTATAAGATTATAGTCCCACTTTTGACTTTTGATACAGCAGGAAGATTTTTTCGTGAAACCCACTGAACAAGGAATGGGGTTCACAGATTCTGCTGACTGACTTTGAAATCATCAAACACAGCTGGGAAATCCCCGAACTCAACGGAACTGTTCAAGCCACCTACGTTCAGTGGGGTTCCAAATGAGCCAAGTTGGTGGGTTTCTGGGGAACCTTGGGCGATTTAATGATACTTAATGGTATCTATATATCAACTATAAACATCTATAAACCAACTTATAACTGGGGGGCCCACCTTCTACAAAGATGACTGTTGGGTCTTCATCAACCGCAAGCATCCTTCAAAAAAATGTATCCGTTCACTGAAATCTGTGATAAAACAATGAGACGGATCAAACTTCATTTATTTACATAACCCAATGGAAACATTATATATCATAAACAGAAACATATGTAAACATATATAAACATATATATATATATAAACCATCAAAAAACAGAACCAGCTGCACCATCCGAAGTTTTTCCCCATCCCAAGTCGTCCCCCCGTCGCCTCGTACATGTAGAGGATCTCCAAACAAATCCTCGCTGCTGACGTGCATTAAATCGCGGTTCTCACGATGACCTGTGGGCACTGTGGATTTTTAACGGCCGTTTCCAGATTCAACAAACAATATGGAAAACATGGGGGTGTCACCAACGTAAATCCAACATAAATCCAACCATTTCCTGGAGATATAATGGGATAAGAATATCTACAGTATATACATATCTTGGGATAATTTCTTTGGTGACCCCCCAAGAATCTCCAAGGGTTTGCACGCAAATGAACCACCAACCACGTTTTTGTCAGGCTGGGAAGGATGGGGATGTGAAATGGGAGTTTACTAATGTAACGTGTATATATATATATATATGTAATAGTAATAATAGTGATAATAAGAGATTAAAATGGTAAGTATATCTAAAAACCAAAGAGATGACTGATGACGACTAAACAGCAACAATGGGGATGAAAATGGTGAGTATATCTAAAAAACAAGATATGATGGGATGTAGCTGATATATATATGATATTCAACAATCTGATACATCGATGTGTATCTATAGCCAACCATAATCGGGACATTAGATGGGACATCTACCAACAATAGTTCTGGGGATGGCATTAGATACTACAGTAATGGATATAGGTATGTAGAGGTATAAAAACCAAAGAATGTGTATATATATATATGATATATATATATATAATGATATATATATAATGATATATATATATATAATGATATATATATAATGATATATATATAATGATATATATATAAATATAATGATATATATATATAATGTTAGCTACCGACTAGTGTCATGATACCCTATTGTGAGAAATTTCTCCAAAATAATTCAGTTCGCTAAAATAGGTGGGGAGGAACTCTATTGTGAGTTTTTTTTTTCGGATTTTTTTTTCCAATTTTTCAGTTTTTTATTTTCAGATCCAATTTACTTTAGAAAGCCATATTCATGTTAAAGCCTTAAAACGCAAGGTTTTCCAAATAATGAGATGCCTTATTAAACCCTTATTTAAAAAACAGCATCCAAACCATTTTTCAAGGGGGTACCCTATGAGTGGCCCAGATACTCAATAATATAATTGTTTGCATGGCACTCTATTGTGCACAACAACTTTTGGGATTTAAAAAAAACAAAGACCATTTCTCCAGCTTTCTTTGGGTAAAGCTGGCCCCTTTAGTTTAGAAAGCCATATCCATGTGGAAGCCTTAAAATGCAAGGTTTTCCAAATAATTAGATGCCTTATTAAACCCTTATTAAAAAACAGCATCCAGACAATTTTTCAAGGGGGTACCCCATGAGTGGCCCAGATACTCAATAATATAATTGTTTGGATGGTATTCTATTGCGCACAACAACTTTTGGGATTAAACAAACAAAGACCATTTCTCCAGCTTTCTTTGGGTAAAGCTGGTCCATTTACTTTAGAAAGCCATATCTATGTTAAAGCCTTAAAATGCAAGGTTTTCCAAATAATTAGATGCCTTATTAAACCCTTATTAAGAAACAGCATCCAGCAATTTTTCAAGGGGGTACCCCATGAGTGGCCCAGATACTCAATGATATAATTGTTTGGATGGTACTCTATTGTGCACAACAAACAACTTTTGGGATTAAACAAACAAAGACCATTTCTCTAGCTTGCTTTGGGTAAAGCTGGCCCCTTTAGTTTTGAAAGCCATATCCATGTTAAAGCCTTAAAATGCAAGGTTTTCCAAATAATTAGATGCCTTATTAAACCCTTATTGAAAAACAGCATCCAAACCATTTTTCAAGGGGGTACCCCATGAGTGGCCCAGATACTCAATAATATAATTGTTTGGATGGTACTCTATTGTGCACAACAACTTTTGGGATTAAACAAACAAAGACCATTTCTCCAGCTTTCTTTGGGTAAAGCTGGTCCATTTCCTTTAGAAAGCCATATCCATGTGGAAGCCTTAAAATGCAAGGTTTTCCAAATAATTAGATGCCTTATTAAACCCTTATTAAAAAACAGCATCCAGACAATTTTTCAAGGGGGTACCCCATGAGTGGCCCAGATACTCAATAATATAATTGTTTGGATGGTACTCTATTGCGCACAACAACTTTTGGGATTAAACAAACAAAGACCATTTCTCCAGCTTTCTTTGGGTAAAGCTGGTCCATTTCCTTTAGAAAGCCATATCTATGTTAAAGCCTTAAAATGCAAGGTTTTCCAAATAATTAGATGCCTTATTAAAAACCTTATTAAGAAACAGCATCCAGACAATTTTTCAAGGGGGTACCCCATGAGTGGCCCAGATACTCAATAATGTAATTGTTTGGATGGTACTCTATTGTGCACAACAATTTTTGGTTTGATTTTTTGGATTTGAAAGAAAAATCAATTGAAAAAAAATGAAATCAAATGAAAACCAATTGACAGTAAATTGAAATCAATTGAAAGTAAGTTGAAATCAATTGAAGGTAAATTGATTTCAATTGAAATCCTTACTTAAGTTGACTATCCTAAAAATTGTTGAAGGGGGGAGCCAAAAATTTTGAGTTATTCAGTATATATACCCAAATTGTTTGAGGGGGGGGGCCCTCACACTAATCAGTAGTCAACATTATATATATATAACATAGACCCGGGCAAGCCGGCGGCGG